CCGCCTGCCCACCCGGTGGTCCCCCGCGTGCCAGCGCCTGAGCCGACGGGGCTCAAAGGGCAGGGGCGCCCCTGGTGATCACGGGCGGGGGAGGGGGCCCCCAGGGACCCGGCCGCTCTCTCCCTGCAGCCCTTTCTGGACTTCGGCCTCTGGCTCCTTCAGTAAATAGAGCCAGGCCGGGGCTCCTCGCTCACGTCCACCCGCACTGCCCCAGGTGTGTCTGCGCCCCACTAAAACCAGGCCCTTGGCAGCAGCTGCTCCCATTCAAAGTATTATTTTTAAAACCTGAAAGATTTGAAAGGGAAAGTCCGTTCTCTAAGCGAGGGAAATTGGAGCATTTTGTTTTAAATAACGTACCAAGAAATGTCTGGGTGGGAGTCTCAGAAAGTAGAGTCTTTTTAAATAACCTTTTTAAAAGGACTTAGAGGCAAACTCACTAATCTGAAGTCCTCTTTATCTCTAAGGGGGAAAAAGAAGAAGTGACTTGTAATGAAATTAAGTGAGCCGTTTAGTAGTATTTTTTTTAATCCCTAAAAGTTAAAATTGAATGGGAAAGGCCCAGGTTTGCATTAAATCGGAACCTTACGTAAAGTCGCACATTAAATACCACAGCACCCCAGCCTCCACCCTGCAGGGTGGGGCAGTTTCCTAATGGTCAATGACAGGGATTCAGTGTGGCAAGAGGCTGTCATGCAGGTCCCTCCTGTTTTCTGGAACAAATGCAACAATTTCTTGGCTATTCTTTTTTTTTTTCCAGATTATTTATTTATTTTTGGTGGGGGCGGTAATTAGGTTCACTCATTTATTTTTAAAGGAGGTGCTAGGAATTGAACCCAGGACCTCCCACTTGCTAAGCACTGGCTCTACCGCTTGAGCTATATCCTTACCCTCTCTTGGTTATTCTCTTAACATTCTGCCCAGATTCTACCACTACTGTTTTCAAATCACTTGTCTTGAATGTATCATTTTCTTACTCCTGTTTCTTCCTTTCATTCTTCTCACACATATTTGAGTGCCTCCTATGTGCCAGATACTTGGTGACAATGACTCCAGCCTCTCTCCATCATTCGCTACTGCTGAACACTTCCTTCCTTCAAACTTCCTCAGTGGCCTCTTTGACCAGGTGTGCCCCTCCTCTCCTGCTCTCTGATGACAAATTCTCTGATGACAGTCTTTTTTAATATCAATTTTCACCTAGAGGCAGATACTTCACCACCCAAATCCCAGCCCTTGGCTCCTGTTAACCATTTGCTAACTCCCCACCTGGATGGGTTTGTTTGTTTTTTTGTTTGTTTTCACAGAATTAGAGTTGATTTGCAATGTTGTGTTAGCTTCTGGTGTACAGCATAGTGATTCAGTTATATATATATATATATTTTTTCTTTGGGGGGAGGTAATTTGGTTTATTTATTTCTAATTATTGTTTTTTTTTTAATGGAGGTACTGGGGATTGAACCCAGGACCCTGTGCATGCTAAGCACATGCTCTACCACTGAGCTATAGCTTCCTCCCTTATATGTTCTTTTTCATATTCTTTTTCATTATTACAGGCTATTTAATATTCCCTGTGCTATCTACCTGGATGGTTTGTTTGTTTGTTTTCACCTGGATGGTTTTGTTTGTTTGTTTGTTTGTTTGTTTAAGATCAAAGATGGGACCAGGGGACTCAAGACCTCATGGATCAAGAGCCCTGAATGTCTGGTCTGCATCGTATTTATTATGATTCTCTGGCAGGTAATAGCCACCTGGATGTTTAAACGACACTTCAGGTGGGGTGCACGTTCAGCCAGAGACTTCCCACCTCCCTCTCCTTGATCATGCCCCACCCTTACCCCATCCTTCCGTAAGTCTTGATGGTTTCCAGTTTGCAAGCCCTCCCCTGCTACTCTGGTTCAGGCCTTCCCACTTCTAGCTTTCCAACTGGTCTCATCACTGCTAGTATCCCATAGGCTTTCCTGCCAGATAACACTTCCTGAAGCCAGTGCACCTTTCTCATCCTATTTCCTATTAGACATCTTCATGTTCTTGCCTCTCCAGCCATTGTTCACCTTACACAGCGCCACTCTCTTGCCTCCTTTCCTTTGCTGGAACACTCTCTCCCTAGTTCCTGTCTTCCCATGCCCAATGTTCAGCTGAAGCCCATGCTCACACTACTCTTTCTATAACTCTCCTAAAATCTTAACAGTTTTCTACATGGAATAAGCATGGGGTGTGGAATCAGAAAAAAAGTTTAAGTCTTGGGTCCACTATCAGTGTATCTCAATCACTGATGGCAGAAGAGAAAACACACCCCCACTCCCCATGGGTCTGGGGGCCTCGCTCAAAGTAGCCCCCTGTAAAGCACAACATTTCTTTGAAATTTCATGTTTGACCTTGCAAATGTGTGCAAGGTTTTCGTTCTATTTCATGATGCTTATTTTAGCATAAAAATTTCACATTATTTACCAGTTAAATTTTCCCTAAGACTTTCCAGTACAGCTGTCATTCCAATAACACATTATTTAACCCAGCCCACCCACTGTACCTCTTTGAGGCACTCCAGACGGGGAAGGATGGACTGAGCTCGTCAACCTGAGCAACTCGCCCTTCTGAACCTATTGCCTACTCCGTAAAATGGGATGATGATCCTTACTGGCTGTTCTTATGAGGGTTAAATGAGGTCTGCCATGGAAGAGCCTGGTAAACCATGCACTGATAAACAGTAGGTAGTGTTATCATTGTACATTTGATTTCCTCTCCTGCAGTTTCCTAACCGTGGTCATAGCACACCGGTGTATCACAATTGGGTTACAGGGGGGACACAGTATAAAGGTCCCATGGCCCTTGGGGCTGGAAGCTACACTGACCACCTCAAGGTGCATGCGGGCCATGGGGAGATCCTCGAGGGATGATCCCAGCGAGCAGAGTCTGACATCCTGCCTTGCAATCCTCACAAGTAGGCAGAAGGGTCAATGGCATTTGCGGCTTGCCATGTGTGACCACCTGGACATCAACTTCAGGAACCAGCTGCCGAGTAAGCTGCTGCATGTTATGGATAAGGGTTCAGGGCCTTACTAGAGGAGTTGAGTTCTGGAGGCCCAAGGAGGAGGATCAGCAACCCAAGATGCAGCTGGTCAAGGGTGGAGGGGCAGGGAGGCCGGTTGGAGGGCTCTGCCAGAGCAGCCCCAGACGGCTGACCCAAATCTGTCTTCACATTGTAACAGATATTTCTGTTCATTTTTGGCTGATGTCCACGCAGTGTCCAAGCTAACCCCAGGGTGACCGCTTTAATAGTGCTTATGGGCAGGGTGACATTAAAAATATTTAGCATCTGAGATGGCACAAATATTGACCAATCAGAACAGATGCCAGCTGGCCATTAACAGTGAATACCAGTACATACCAGGTGGCTATCATCCCTGAAAGAACGTGCTTTAAATCAGAACTGCCTGTTACTACATATAAAACAGATGAACAACAGGACCTACTGTATATAGCACAGGGAGCAATATTCAATTTCTTACAATAACATATAATGGAAAAGAATCTGAAAAGAAAATATATGTGTATGTATGTATATGTATAAATGAATTACTTTGCTGTACACCTGAAACTAACATGGTAAATAAACTATACTTCAATAAAAAAAATTTTTAATCAGAACTGTGTCATTATTTTAAAATGCTTGACATAAGAGAGTTTGATTGGATTCAGAATCTATTAATGTTATCACAAGAAATTTCAATTGTACAGCTGTTAATGAAAGAGTAACACATTTCTTTAAGTATTTTAACTTTTGTAAATTTTTTAATGTTCAAATTTCTTTTTAAATTTTTATTACTTATTTGAGTTTCTAATTGCTCATAGCTATCAAGAACTTGAAGAGATCCCTCTTGAAAAGCTCTGGTCATTATTGCATGTAACCCTTTTAAGTACAAAACCTGATATTAAAAAGTTACATTCACAGAAGAAAGCAAAAATCTTGAAAATATTTTATTGAAAAATTTTGTTATGATCAATATACATAAGTCTCTGGTACTACCATTTTTCAAAGCATAATTTGATAATATGTAGAAAATATACATTTTTTCTTTTACCAAACC